ATAAGTAAAACTGATTACAATTTGATTCTAGAAAATAAGTGCGATATGTTATTCTTAGTGCACAAAATATAATAGTCGTTTATAGAGATTTGATTTGAAATTCATACTAGCCCGTACAATGAAAAATTATTGCTCGTAATTCCAGAGTACCAATTTGTTAATGACTCAGAAAATAACATGGCGGCCTGCTCTCAAAAAACTTTCGATGGGTAGAATAAATAATTGAAATAAGAGTTGTGAAATTGTATAAATTAAAAACCTTCAATCTTTCTTAGTAAAATTTCGAATTTTCGTATCAACTTCCGATTTGTGTTATACCGTATTTTCAGGGAGTAAGTTATTGATCAGAAAACTTTGCCTTGTTGCTCGAAACGGGTGTATATTAAGTAAAATTTATAAATGTACAGTTCTCAGGTCAACTACAATAAAGCTATACGCTTAAAAAGTTTACTGATTATTTGTCGTAATATACAATAAAAATTACATATTAATTATTCAAGATACAAGTGAGAAATAAATATCATTAAATATACAAAACAAATTTATCAATTTGACTCTGAAAAGTAAGTGACATGGTTCTCAAAGTGCAAGGTTTCATTTGACTTACAATTTTCTTCAGAAACACAGAAGAAAAAGGTATTTGTATATAGTTTTGTATATTCACTTGTTGTGTGTGTAGAGCTTTTAAAAATACGTTGAATTCTTATTCTAATCTAATCTTCTTCTAATGTAATACTTTTCGTACTTCAAATGTTGTAGTAATTATTCTGTAAGAGCTTCGACATTATTTCTAAATGGACATCGAGAAACATCATAGTTTTTTGAGAGCAGGCCGCCATGTTATTTTTCTGAGTCATTAACAAATTGGTACTCTGGAATTACGAGCAATTATTTTTCATTGTACGGGCTAGTATGAATTTCAAATCAAATCTCTATAAACGACTATTATATTTTGTGCACTAAGAATAACATATCGCACTTATTTTCTAGAATCAAATTGTAATCAGTTTTACTTATATGTATGTATATTCAATGTGAACTTGCACCTTGAATAAAATATCACAGTTACTTTTCATGGTAATATATTATTACTAAATTTAGATAATATACACTTTACGTATGTTCACTTTGAACTGGCACCTTGAATAACATATCAGTTACTTTTCGTGATAATTTATTATTAGATCGTTTAAATTTTTAAAGGTTTAAATTTTGAGTACCTTCTTTTGAACATGGCCTGACCTTTTCATTTTTATGATTTTTTTAGGATATGTTTATTTCCGTGAGCATTTCCCTACGTAGTTCTCGCATGCCTCTCATTATCTCACGTAGCATAGGGTTATCTATTCCGGCCTCCCTATAATTAGGAGTTTCGCGCACCTCGATTTCGTCAACGCGTCTATCTATGTATCGTCTGGTATCGCGGGGGTTAGTTGTTCCTATTTCGCTATTAGGGGGTGGTGCATGTACGTCGGCTTCCACCAGTCGAGTATTGTCGCGAGCTATTGTACCGTGTAGACGGTCAATCTCGCGGTCGATGGCACTCTCGGACACATCCATGCCACCGTTAGGCGGTGTTCGCAGCATGTCCTGATACTCGCTCGGATCGAAAATACTACTATCGTATGATGTAAGCAAGGATTCCCCGCGTTGTGACCCGTTGCTAGGAGTTCGTCTTACGCGTTCGTTACTTTCTTTTCTTAATTTTTTAACGGTGTCGGTTTCCCCTTTTTCAAATAAACTTTCGTCAAAAATGTTAAACGGAAATTCGCGTTCGGCTTTCCCGTGAGTATATGATTCGGAGTCGCTCTCTCCTGAATAATATGCTTCTAATTTTATTCGCACTTTTTCGAGGTTTTCTAAGGTTATCGGTAGTGCTTTGATTGATCGTTCGGCTGAGTCGCTATGTAACCACGATTTATTTGCTATCGCTTGTCGGGGTGTTTCGCTTTCCTCCGACATTCATGCAGTTTATATATAAAAAGTTTGATTCGGACTTACATTAATACGGCTACCATTACTATCGCTCGCTCGCTGACGCTGCAGATCATTGCTCGGCAGTGTTGATACGGCTGGCGGTCCGGTGTTGTAAGGTGATCCGGCGGGTCGTTGTACGGTGCGATGCGTTGTCCGTGTTGTCGTAGGTCGCGTCCTTAGGTGATGGCCTACTTCCCGACGGCTGATGCGTTGTTTGTGTGTGTGTGTCTTCTTGTACGTACGGCACGCTGCTGCTTATACGTCGGCTTCTGTTTTGTTCGCTTCCCGTCGATTATTATGTTCGACGTGCCTGATTATTAATACTGCTGTATTTTTCAGGTCTTCCTCCGAGTAGTTCCTGACGGTCCTTCGGCGCAATCCCACCGCTGCCACCAATTTGTTGTGTGCCTCGGGAGAGACACCAGGGGGTCGCGCCAAATTGGGATGGGAATCCGGGGCGTCAGGACTTGTCGGGTGTTTGTAGAAAATGCACTACACTTTTCGTATTAAAATTCTTTATTCAACTTCAACCACTTGGTTATTATTTATCACCAATAATACACTGAAGCTTTAACGAGTGTGCGGCACTGACTTTCTATTACTCCGCGTATCGCGCACAACTGCGAGTCGATGCTAAGTGCGCGCGCGGTTAGCGAGATCGTGGTTAGAGCGATTATTTGTGTCTGCGACTGAGCGAGTTGTCGCGTCTCTACTCTCTTTTATATCGTTGTTTTTTGGAGTTTTCCCGATCGGAAGGGGTGCCTGGCAACAGGTTTCCCCGGTCGAGAATCTAGGTGCAAGCGAAGCAGATTCAAAGTCCTTCTGCTTTGCTTGCACGTTGACCAATTTCTATTCCGCGTATATCTCGCATTGTATGCGTTTTTAACGCGGTCATTATCTGTCGTAATTCTGATTTCGCGTATACCTTGCATTGTATGCGTTTTTTAACGCGGTCAGTGTCTGTCGTAATTGCGGATGTAATACGAGTACCCATTTCTTAATATTAGTTACCTTTTAATAGTTATATCTATTGTATATCTTTGGGGGATATAACAAACCGTTAATACCGCGAAATTGATTTGCGCTCTGATCGACCAGTGAACACAATTTTTCTGGGACGCTACTACTTCTTATTAGGTTGACCGGTGATCCCGAATCAACCACCGCGCCGTCGGTATAATTAAAATCTGCGCCCTCATCCGCCGCTAAAATATCCACACTTACAATGTACGGTCCAGGAAGCGCGGCGGGCCGAACCGCGTCCGCCAACACGATCTCCGTCGATCCCGCCGTCGGACCCGCCACCGCCGGCCGTCCACGCCCAGGGCACCCCGCCGCCAAGTGTCCCGACGCCCCGCAAACATAACACGCGCGACCCGTCGGCGGCCGCCCGCAACGTGCCGCGATATGGCCTACCTCACCGCAGCGGAAACACCGCGTCCGCTCTAATCCCGGTTGCCCGGCTCCACCATCCGCATCTGGCCTCACCCTGCCTCCCCGGCTCTCCGCCCGTCCGGGCCCAACGCCGCTCCTAGTCCCTCGCCGACAGCGGGTCTCGCTCCTCCGGGCGGCCCCATCATCCTGTCTCTGCGCTCGAACACGATGCTCTCGAAGGCCTCCAGCAGTTCCGCTCCCGACCGGAACCTCATCAGACGCGCCTGGTTCCGCAATTGCACGTTCGTAATGCCCTCAATCACATGATCAAGAAGCTCGTCCTCAGCCACCGGGACACGATTAGCAAGAATCACCTTTTCGTGATAATAATTGCTAAATGGCTCGTCGCCCCTCCACATGCGAGCCTCAAATTTTCTCCGGAGCGTGATCCTCGCCGGACGCAAGTCGAACATTCGCGCCATTTCTTCCAGCAGCTCCTCCATTCCCAATGCAAGGTGTTCGGTTTTGGAGTAGAACCAGGTCAATGCCCGTCCCTTCAAACGAGAGCCGATCAGGATCCTGGTAGCGCCTTCGTCAAGACGATAGGTGTCCCTGAGAAGTCCGAGCTGACTCCTCCACCTCCAAAACGTATTCTCACTTCCGTCGAATTCCGGCAACAACTCCTTGACACCCCTAAAACTTTCACCACCGGACGATCCCGCTGATGCCACCGAAGAGCCGCGAAACAGCTCTCTCTCCCTTTGAAAAAATGATCTGATTTAACTCGGCGCGTTCTAAATTTCCGAGGAGAGCGGACGAGGCGCCCTCGTGCCCTCGCACCGCCGCATCCCGTCTCGCCGCAGTCCTCTCCAACGCGGTCTCCTCCGCAGCAAACTCCTCCGTGGAAGCATGTGTGGGAGGAATGCATGGAATGGGGAAGGGAAGAGAGCTGGCAGGAAATGGTGAAAGAGGTGCTAGGAGAGGAGGGAGAAGGGGAAATGTGGTTAAAAAGGTTAGAGAAAGCAAGAGGGAAAGGGGAAGGGAAGGATGGAAAAGGAGGGAAGGGGGAAGAGGGAGGACAAGAGTTGAGGGAAGAGAGAGAGGGGGAGAGTGGGTGTGAGAGAAGGAGAGAGAGAGAGAGAGAGGGAATGAGTGAAAGAAGTGAGAAAGGATAGCAGTAACCGGAAGCGGAGGTCCCACATAGGTTAAGTAATACATAAGAATGCGAAAGTAGTAAATAAGAAGGCGTAGGATAAGAAAGGCTAGGGTAAAGAGGTCGTGTGTGTGGAAGAGTTGGTAGGAAGTAGATAGGGTAGAAATGCGAGAAAGGGCGTAGTAGGCGGCGAAGCGGAGCGGCGTAGCGTATCATTTATATATATAATTGTCTATATTAATTAGGTTTAAGTTATAGGTTAAGGATTGTATGTAAATGAACGCATAAAGGTTTGGAATCGCTCCTTTAAACAGGAAAAAAGCGCCTTGTAACCTCCAATTGGGGCAACAATAAACAAGTATCTAATCTAATCTATCATCAACAAGAAATATGTTAATGGCGAGTACTTATATATTGATATAATCTATAATTAAAAACAAGATTAAATATTAAATTACTTAACAAATTTAATTTTTTAACAGATTATTAATAATGGCAAAAAATTTCGCTGTCGTTACTTTTCCAAGCGATGGAAATAATGAAGAAGAAACTGTATCAGAAGTTCCATCTTTATGGCTTTCTTCCAATTTAAAAGAATGCTGGTGGCCGTTGGTAAAAAAATGTAAATACCTTTATTATAAAACAAATTCCACCTGTTATTGATGATCCTAAATGGGAATCTTATCCCATTAAATTTCATGGATATTATGGTAAGTTATATTTTATTGTAGAATTTATGAAATTGTTTTTTTAATATTTTTAAAAAATAATGTAATTTCTAAATACGATTTTGTCTCAATTTAGATTTATTAGAAGAAGCTAGACAGAGAGCAACAAACTATTCTTCAAATAAGGAAAGCAATATAAATGAAATAAAGAAGTCCGCACAAGACAGTTGAATAAAACTGTTTCTCACGATGAGTCAGAATCTGATTCTGATGACTCACGTTTAGTTATACCAAATCCACCAAATCTTACTGTAAATACAAATGCCTCGCAATCAATTAACAAAAGTCAATCTATCGCAACTGTTATTAATTCATCAGTTGTCAGCAATGATATTGACCTGGAGATTCTTGATGGAATTTTAGTATCACTTAAAAGTAATTTTTATTTTTAAATTCTTTAATTCAATTTACTTATATTATTTTCATAATATAAGTTTTTTTATTACAGTTATTACAGTTATTATTATTGTTTATTATGTGAATAATCTAATATTTCTTTAATGTTAATTTTTAGGTATACAGGATGTACATACGTTAATATCAGATGGATTCGAAAAAATGGAAGGTATTGTATTTATTTTTGTCTTATAATCTTATTGTCTTATAATATACTTTATATCTATTTTTGGCACTGTTTATTCAATACTATTAATTTTTCAGGTCATTTTAAGAATATATATACAGCTATAACTACAGTTACATTAGGAATACAAGAATGAATACTAAATGTTCATTTAACAAATATAGAAAAACAAAATAATCAACAAATCCAAAGCATCTGTCACGGATACATCAAATATACATCAATTTTTTCCATTTAAAAATATAAATGAAGTAACAGCTTTTGAAAACCGTTTATCAGAAAATGTAGATGAGTACAACAAATTTCATCTAAATAGAACAATAGAAATTGTATTTTTGGTATGTTTTATTTCTAAAGATGCTGTATATATCTCGCATAGGCGGAAGGTCCGCCAAGGAAAATTTAATTCGCATATACCTTTATTTTCCAATGAAGTTGCCAAAGAATCATATTGGAAAGGATTACAAAATCATTTTAAAATTAGTAGCTTAAAGTATATATTAATGGGAATACTAGGTAAAATATATTTTTATATTTATTTTATAAACAAGTTTATAAAATAAAATTTAATTTAGTGTATTGTAATATTTCAGCAACAATTTCCGGTCAACATCAATTCACAAGCAAAGAATTTGAAGATGTCACAAAAGAATGGTTTCGCCAAGGTGGTCAGAGGCTTAGCAGACAAAAAGATTCCGAAGAAACAAATCCGCAAGTCATTTAAATGTTTCAGATGCTTATGACTTATTTTCATTATAATTTTTTTCTATAGTAGCTAGAGTCTATTAATATAACAAAAATATTTTTCAGAAATAAATATTTTTATCGGCTCTCAATATAAAGAATATAAGTATGCTGCCTTCTAAGCCGGGCAATAGAGCCAAGGAAACGAAACGAAAAATTAATTAAACGGAACTGTATCTCAATTTGAGATCCCAAAGTTCCACATATAAATTAATTTCGAAACTTACATATGGAGAAATAAGCGAGAAAAATATAGGTCCGAAAAGTCGCTGAAGCGGGAATCGAACCCGCGTCTTTCACTTTCCGGGCGACTGCTCTTACCAACTAAGCTATTCAGACCCTTTCGATCCCATATTTTCATTTGCCTTTTAAGTAGATGTTAGTAAATACCGCCGTGATTAGCCCAGGCGTGAATAAACTCAGAAATAAATATTTTTATCGGCTCTCAATATAAAGAATATAAGTATGCTGCCTTCTAAGCCGGGCAATAGAGCCAAGGAAACGAAACGAAAAATTAATTAAACGGAACTGTATCTCAATTTGAGATCCCAAAGTTCCACATATAAATTAATTTCGAAACTTACATATGGAGAAATAAGCGAGAAAAATATAGGTCCGAAAAGTCGCTGAAGCGGGAATCGAACCCGCGTCTTTCACTTTCCGGGCGACTGCTCTTACCAACTAAGCTATTCAGACCCTTTCGATCCCATATTTTTCATTTGCCTTTTAAGTAGATGTTAGTAAATACCGCCGTGATTAGCCCAGGCGTGAATAAACTCAGAAATAAATATTTTTATCGGCTCTCAATAAAAAGAATATAAGTATGCTGCCTTCTAAGCCGGGCAATAGAGCCAAGGAAACGAAACGAAAAATTAATTAAACGGAACTGTATCTCAATTTGAGATCCCAAAGTTCCACATATAAATTAATTTCGAAACTTACATATGGAGAAATAAGCGAGAAAAATATAGGTCCGAAAAGTCGCTGAAGCGGGAATCGAACCCGCGTCTTTCACTTTCCGGGCGACTGCTCTTACCAACTAAGCTATTCAGACCCTTTCGATCCCATATTTTTCATTTGCCTTTTAAGTAGATGTTAGTAAATACCGCCGTGATTAGCCCAGGCGTGAATAAACTCAGAAATAAATATTTTTATCGGCTCTCAATAAAAAGAATATAAGTATGCTGCCTTCTAAGCCGGGCAATAGAGCCAAGGAAACGAAACGAAAATTAATTAAACGGAACTGTATCTCAATTTGAGATCCCAAAGTTCCACATATAAATTAATTTCGAAACTTACATATGGAGAAATAAGCGAGAAAAATATAGGTCCGAAAAGTCGCTGAAGCGGGAATCGAACCCGCGTCTTTCACTTTCCCGGCGACTGCTCTTACCAAGTAGGTAAGAGCAGTCGCCCGGAAAGTGAAAGACGCGGGTTCGATTCCCGCTTCAGCGACTTTTCGGACCTATATTTTTCTCGCTTATTTCTCCATATGTAAGTTTCGAAATTAATTTATATGTGAAACTTTGGGATCTCAAATTGAGATACAGTTCCGTTTAATTAATTTTTCGTTTCGTTTCCTTGGCTCTATTGCCCGGCTTAGAAGGCAGCATACTTATATTCTTTATATTGAGAGCCGATAAAAATATTTATTTCTGAGTTTATTCACGCCTGGGCTAATCACGGCGGTATTTACTAACATCTACTTAAAAGGCAAATGAAAAATATGGGATCGAAAGGGTCTGAATAGCTTAGTTGGTAAGAGCAGTCGCCCGGAAAGTGAAAGACGCGGGTTCGATTCCCGCTTCAGCGACTTTTCGGACCTATATTTTTCTCGCTTATTTCTCCATATGTAAGTTTCGAAATTAATTTATATGTGGAACTTTGGGATCTCAAATTGAGATACAGTTCCGTTTAATTAATTTTTCGTTTCGTTTCCTTGGCTCTATTGCCCGGCTTAGAAGGCAGCATAAAAATATTTTTCTTTTCCTAATTTTTTATTGAATAATTAATACTTAAGTTTTTAAATTTTGTGTTCTAAATTCATATAGTCTGCACTGTTTCTTTTCATTATGAGTTCTTATATATATATACGTTATTCAAAAGTATCAATAAATGATGCTTACTAAGTCTGCTAATTCTCTTAAAAAAAAATTTAATTCAAGTAATGACGTTATATATATATATATCAACTTTTGAAATAAACAGCATTTTCAGGCCTTTTTAAAAAACCTCACATTTGTTGTCGGTATTGGTAATACCCACAGGAAAGTTACAAGGTCGGACTTACACTTTGTGTGTGTACATGTGTGTGTGTGTATGTGTGTAAGATGTGTGTGTGTGTGTGTGTGTATGTGTGGAAAGGGTATGAGTGAGTATGTGTGGGATGTGTGTGAGCGTGTATGAAGTGTGTGAATGTGTGTGGAGTGTGTGTGAGTATGTGGAATGTGTATAGGATATGTGTTTGTATAGGGTGCGCGCGAGTGTATGTGTATGTGTGAGTGTGTGTGTGGAATGTGTATATATGAATAAGGTATGTATGGGGTATGTATGAGTGTGATGGTGTGTGCATGTGTGGGGTGTGTGTGAGTGTGTATATGAAGTGTGACTGTGTATGGAGTGTGTATCAGATATGTGTGAGTATGTATGGAATGTGTATGAATAAGATCAGTATGTGTGTGGAATGTGTGAGTGTATAAAGTGAGTGTGTATGGAATGTGTATAAATGAGATCAGTATGTGTGTGTGGAATGTGTGTGAGTGTATGGAGTGAGTGTGTATGAAGTGTGAGTATGTATGGAATGTATGTGTGTGAAGTGTGTATCGGATATGTGTGAGTGTGTATGGAATATATATGAATGAGATCAGTATGTGTGTGTGGGATGTGTATGACAGACACACATTATATACATACTTACACACATTCTTAAAAACACCTCCCCCGCATATAAATTATATATATATATATATATACTACACATTTATACATCCACACTTATACATTACACACCTCCGCACACACCATGCACATCACACATATCCTATACGCACTCATACACACACACATGCCCCCCCCACACACACTTCTCACACATACACCACCCTATGTACACATACTTTTCACACATACATATATACACCCCGTACACACCCATACACGCTCACACACATCGCACACATGCTCACGCGTACCCCACACACGCTTACACACACCCATACTCTACACACACTTCACACATACTCACACATTCCATACACACACACATCCCACACATACTCACATATACCCTTCTCCCCCACACACTCCACACACACACACACACCCATACACATCCCACACACACACCCATACACGCTCACACACATCGCACACATGCTCACACGTACCTCACACACACCTTACACACCCATACTCTACACACACTCCACACACACTCACACATTCCATACACGCACACATATCCCACACTTATTCACACGTACCCTTGTGACGACCCGATTAGCCGTCACTAATCGCCCGCGCTCATGTAAACGGTCCCTTTCGGGGCCACCACACGAACACGTTGGGAATCCGCCTTTTCGCCCCCACCCGTCACTCGACCCCCTCCAAGCTAGTCTTAGAGTGGGGTAGCCGACGGGTATAAAGAGCGGCGCAGCCGAGACTTCGGCACCAGTCCCGTCCTGGTCCCTCGAGCGTACTCAGGGATCACTCCTCAACTCCCACACTCCAAATCACCCCGGCCGACGAGCGTTCTCGTCGTGCAGGCCGAGCGTTCTCGGTCACCGGGTCCTGTCCGTAAATCACCCCGCCGACGAGCGTTCTCGGTCACCGGGTCCTGTCCGGAAATCACCCCGGCCGACGAGCGTTCTCGTCGTGCAGGCCGAGCGTCCTCGGTCACCGGGTCCTGTCCGTAAATCACCCCGGCCGACGAGCGTTCTCGTCGTGCAGGCCGAGCGTTCTCGGTCACCGGGTCCTGTCCGTAAATCACCCCGGCCGACGAGCGTTCTCGTCGTGCAGGCCGAGCGTCCTCGGTCACCGGGTCCTGTCCGTAAATCACCCCGGCCGACGAGCGTTCTCGTCGTGCAGGCCGAGCGTTCTCGGTCACCGGGTCCTGTCCGTGAGTCACCCCGGCCGTCGAGCGTTCTCGTCGTGCAGGCCGAGCGTCCTCGATCACCGGGTCCTACCCGAAAGTCAACGGCGCCCGACGGAGCTCGCCCTTCTCAGGGCGCCCGTACGCGTGTCCGCGTTGGAAACTTTAGGTATAAGTCGTGTCCGCGTCCGTATAATCTGGCCGCGTTTCGTCCGTAATCTTCCTATCGGTAACTTCTAGTAATAAGTCGTGTCCGCGTCCGTATCATCTGGTCGCGTTTCGTCCGATTATACTATGCTGTGTATAATGGTTTGAATCACGGGAGAACCACAGGA